CCGCCTGAGCTACCTGGCTTCTTCCCCGGCTCAGGCATCTTGAGAGAAGTCAAACCAAGAACCGAGCAGGCACAGGCCACCCGAAGAGGATCTGGGCAGGGACCCGTCCCCCACTATATAAGGGGCCTCCCCCTCCCCAGGGCCCCCTTATCTGACTCCTTCCCAGCTACCTGCTAAATATAGACAAATTCCAGAGAGCAGGGCTCTCAGGAGAAGGTGGGGCCGTGTTGTTCCTGGCTGTCCCTTCCCCCACCGGCCCAATCTGATGGCTCTGCCCCCACCTCCTCAGTGAACCTCAGGGGAACCCCCAGTCCTGCCTGTATGTCCATCTGACGGGCACACTGTGCCGTGGGAGTGAGCTGGGCCCGCGGCCCTGGGGTGGGTGGGTCGAATGCGCATCCTCGCTGGGCGGTATGGGGGGTGGTTCCCCACACAGACCCTGGGGCCGCCCGAGTCCTGCCACGCCACTCCCTTCCCCTCCTGGGCCTTAGTCTCCTCGCCTGTAACGCGGGGCGGTGACGGCAGCACCCGCCGCCTGGGCTTGTTCCGTGCACGCAGTGGGTTTACCTACAGAGACGCCGGAGCAGGGCCGGGCGTGTGGGAAATGCGGAGGGACTGTGTGCTCCTGCTATGTGACCCCGGGCATCACAGCTCAGGGCCCGGCTGGCTGCGTGCTGTGGGGCCCTGGGTGCAGCTCACAGGGCCTCTCTGTGCTTCCTTTGTATATACATATCTATACATATCTATACATACGTGAACGAAGCAGGTTACACGTGATGCCCTAGCGAGGCTGACTGTGAGGTCGGGAAAGACCACGTGCCCCCCATGGTCGGGAGGACGCCTTTCTCCACACAAGCACTGTCTGCGTGGTGGGAACTTACATTCCTGCGAACACAGAAATCCATTCTTTTCTGCCATTTTAACCACTTTTCAACCGCATCGCAGGCCTGCACACCCCCGGCCCTCTCTCAGGGCTTGGAGACTGCATAGGAAGTGTCACGGTTGGGCTTCCGTGAGCCCCGGGCCTCGGGGTGAGGAGGCATGTGGATTGTCTGCCCAACACAACTGGCCCCAGAATCTGGGTTCCCTGCGGCCTGCAGGCTGCTGCGGGGAGTTACCTCACTCCCGGCCGTTGGCCGCCACTTCTTGCTACTGGGTAGTCGGCAGCAAGAAGCTCAGAGACCCCCGGCCCCCCTCTGCTGATCCTCCCCCGCCGTGGCCTGGGAGCCAGAGAACACAAGACACCGGGTCCACCCGAGGGGTCCTGCTCACACGGATCCGGGGTGGACGCTCTGGGTCCCACTGTCCACATGGGGTCACCTTGCTGAACTGTACCCCATTCCAGACACGTGAAGCCTCCTCCCTCACACTGACGTGGCCGCTCACCCAGAGCTCCATGGGCCTGCGGCCCTCGCCAGCGGTGTGACCTTGAACAGATTATTTGACCTCTGTGAGCTTCCGTTTCCCAGTCTGTACCGTGGGGTGATACCGGACCCCGCGTCCCAAGGCTGACACGTAATAAATGGCCGTGATTATCGCCACCACCACTGGGGGCGTAACCCAAGGATTATGAGTTTAAGCCTCACTGAGGCTTTTTTTAAAAACCATTTGCCAGGTGTGGAGAGTTTTGTAATGATTTATTTCCCTAATAAGAACTGAGGACTCATTCTGCCCACAGCTCTAACTCCAGGCTGATCCCTGTGTCCTCACATCCCCAGCATCTGAGCACTGGGTGTCCTTAGAAAATGCTGATACATAAATGGGAAAAGGAGAGATCATGGTGGGGCGGGGCGGTGGCGGACAATCCATTTTAAAAGAAACTCTTTGTGCTGCAAGTTTCTTGAGGAAGCTGATGGGACAGAGGTGTGAGAAGGGAGAGATGCTGACAGGGTGGGTAATGTACACAGGTCTGATGGCTTCGACTCTCAAGGCAGCACCTGGCGGCACTAATCCAGGCTGACCCCCTCCAGGGGTCAGACCCCCCAGGTGCCTTTTGGGGCCAGGGCTGGAGTCCTGGTGGGAGGCAAAGCAGGGATGTGGGTTGGGCCTGGAGGAGGAGGGAGTGGGAGGTGAGGCGCGCCCGGCCCACCACAGTCCTGCCCTGGCCCCTGGGAGCTTCCCTCCCTGTGTCCGGGCCGGGTGAGGGGTTAATGCTATGGCCAGCAGGGAGGCCTGGTGGGCCCAGCGGGTCGGG